GATTTAATGGCACCATAGGTACGGGTGTAACAAGACCAGCTGCTACCAATTGTTGAAACACTTCAGTGTATGACAAAGGAAGTTTGTTGAAATGTCGTCTCACTCTTTCTTGTTGTGAACGATTGATCCCAGAGGCATAGAGTGGCCTTGGCTGACTTTAAAAATTGGTGGTTGATAAGTTGGAGCTTGGAAAGAATTATTGAATTGCCCTCGAGGGCGCGGCTGATTATTTCTCCCATAAGTCTCATAAACTGAGCTAATGGTGCCAGTGTCATTTTCCTTCTTTTGATTATGGCCTACTTTCCTTGAACTAGAACCCCCTGAACTACCATTTTGGTATTGTTCAAAGAGACTCTTCATTGCTTGAAAATCAATAATAATCCCTGACTTGATTCCATCTTCCACTTGCTCTCCCACGATAACCAACTGAGTGAAAGTGTAATTTACACAAGTCATCAACTTTTCACGATAAGGCCCTTTAGTTGATTTAATGAATAAATTACTCAGTTCATGGTCAGTTAGTGGCGGTTGAACTCGAGCAGCCAATCCACGCCATCTTTGAGCAAATTCCTTAAAGCTTTCACTCGATTTCTTCTCTGTTCTTTGAAGATCCTCTCTACTAGGAGCTAGTGATGTATTGTATTCATACTGCTTCATAAAATTGTAAGTCAAATCATGCCAACTTTTGACCTTACTTTTGTCGATAGTAGAGAACCAAGCATCTGCAGGACCTATCAGACTGTCTTGAAAGTAATGTATCATTAGCTTCTCATCATTGGCATAAGGAGCCATCTTCCTACAATACATTGTCAAGTGGGCATAAGGACAACCGGTGCCATTGTACTTATCAAACTCAGGCAATTTAAACTTATGGGGCAGTTGAATGTTTGGGAAAAAGCACAAAGATGAGATGTCAACCGGTTTATTGGTTTGGACACCTTGCATCGATTTTAGCGTTTCCTCCATCAACTGCACCTTCGCTTTAATTGCCTTGTCTTCATCCTCTGTGATTGACTTGACAACTTGAATCTCTTCTTGATCATTAGACTGAACTGTAGCAACACCAGCATTTAGAACAAATGGTTTTGTCCCAGAAGTTCCACCAATAATTGGATTGGGAGGGCCAGATGACATAGGCTCCTTCCCAAGAGTTAAAGCAGATGTGGCCATAGGGAAATTTGCCACCGGAACATTTCCTTCAAATAAAGGATTTGTTGT